CACACACACACACACACACACACACACACACACATGCACGAAGACACATACTTGTCGATCTGCTCTGCCGCCATGCTCGCAACTGTACGGAGTGACGTCGATGCTCCCAATGCCCGCGGGCCAGGAACAGTGCATACGGAGTCCACTTTATGTGGTGATAACTTTTACAGTGCTGCAGAATTGCAAGTGCACCAGACATGAGGTGTAGCCACCTGTGCAGCATTCGCTCAGCTAGCAGCCACCATGAGTGCAACTGTGGCATACTCCGTACCACACGGGCCCAGCCGAGCCCGACCTGGTAGACTAAGGGTCCGTAAGGGTAGGGCCTGTTTCGTTTCAGCCTAAAAGCCTGAAACAAGGGCCTACAGGCCCTGTGTTGTTTCGGCCTCCAGCCTGAAAACGACGGGCCATTTTCAGGCCCTCACAAGATCGACCTACCTTGAAACTCAGGCACTTTTTTTTTGGTATCTGATCTCAACCATAGACCAGATACATGTCGGGGGTCCGGCGTTTTGGGAACGCCGGACCCCCAGGAGCAAAAAATTCCGACCGGATTTTGGCAAAAAAAGTCAGTTTTGATTTCGTTCAAAAAATATAATATGTCCGTTTTGACGAAATGGCTGTTAAATGGGATGCTACCGTACACATGAACTTGACAAAGTGAGGGTTGAACTGGTGAAGCATATGAACATGAGTGAAAGAGCAACCAAGTGTTGAAACGGAATACTAACATGCACATGAACTTGACAAGTTGAGGCTTGAACCATTGAGAGTACATGCACATGAGTGAAAGTGTAACCAAGTGATGAAACAGAACACTAACATACGCATGAACTTGACAAAAAACTAGTGGAACACGTCCATATGAGTAGAAGAGCAACTAAGTGAGAACCGGAACATCAACATTTTTTTTGAACTTAACAAAGAACTAGTGGAACACACTCACATGAGTAGAAGAGCAACTAAGTGCGAACTGGAACATCAACACATGCTTGATCTTGACAACGTGAAGATTGAATTAGTGAAAAACACTTGCACATGGAGGAGAGAGCAACTAGGTATGAACCGAAACACTACAACACAAATGAACTTGACAATGTGGAGATTGAACTAGTGAAAAGCACATGCTCATAGGGGAAAGAACAACTAGGTATGAACCGGAACTAGTGGAAAGCACATGCACATGAAGGAAAGAGCGACTAAGCATGAACCGAAACACTACAACACTCACGAACTTGACAATGTGAAGATTGAATTAGTGGAAAGCACATACACATGGAGGAAAGAGCAACTAAGTATGAACCGAAACACTACAACATTCACGAACTTGACAATGTGAAGATTGAATTAGTGAAAAACACATGCACATGGAGGAAAGAGCAACTAAGTACGAACAGGAACACTACGACACACATGAACTTGACAATGTGAAGATTGAACTAGTGGAAAACACATGCACACGGAGGAAAGAGCAACTAAGTATGAACCGGAACACTACAACACTCACGAACTTGTCAATGTGAAGATTGAACTAGTGGAAAGCTCATGCACATGGAGGAAAGAGCAACTAAGTACGAACCGGAACACTACAACACACATGACCTTGACAATGCGAAGATTGAACTAGTCGAAAGCACATGCACATGAAGAAAAGAGCAACCAAGTATGAACCGAAACACTACAATACTCACGAACTTGACAATGTGAAGATTGAACTAGTGGAAAGCACATGCACATGGAGGAAAGAGCAACCAAGTACGAATCGGAACTCTACAACACTCACAAACTTGACAATGTGAAGATTGAACTAGTGAAAAGCACATGCACATGGAGGAAAGATCAACGAAGTATGAACCGGAACACTACAACACTTACGAACTCGATAATGTGAATATTGAAATAGTGAAAAGCACATGCACATGGAGGAAAGAACAACTAAGTATGAACCGGAACACTACACACTCACGAACTTGACAATGTGACGATTGAACTAGTGGAAAGCACATGCACATGGAGGAAACAACAACTAAGCATGAACCGGAACACTATAACACTCACGAACTTGACAATGTGAAGATTGAATTAGTAGAAAACACATGCACATGGAGGAAAGAGCAACTAAGTATAAACCTGAACACTACAACACACATGAACTTGACAATGTGAAGGTTGAACTAGTGAGAAGCACATGCAGATGGAGGAAAGAGCAACTAAGTATGAACCGGAACCTATGCTGGACGCCCGGCCGCGGCCGGGGGGGTCTAGTCGGCCGCGCCCTCGGCCGTCGGCCAAATCGGCCAAGTTCGGCCTCGGCCGACCAGCCGAGTTCGGTGCAACATTCTTTTTTTCGCTTTTTCACGTCGAAAAAATAAAAATAAAAAATGGGCGTGCAGGGCTGAAAAAACCCTACACTCCCATATTTGCTTTTTTCGTGTTCGACGTTCCGCGCCGCGCGGAAAA